TTTTAATGCTAAACAAGAGTCCCCGGCAGTCAATCCCCTCTGTGCTACTTTTGCTAGTAAGGAAGTATTACCCTGAGCAGCAATGGGCAGCTGTGATTGGCTGAGAGTGTCAGCTCACTGCTTTAACCTGTCAGAGCTCCAACTGACAGTATGAATGGATATGACAACAAGGAAGTGTGTAATCCCTGCCTTAGCTATACATACAGAAGGGGCCGAACTGTGGATGGCCAAGGACTCCTATTTTGTGGCATACTGCACAAGCATGGTGCAACACTGAATGGAGGGACAGTGCCAGGGCACTCCAGGCACCATAACCAATTCAAAGAGATGAAATGGTTATAGTGACTACAGTGTTCCTTTAACAGTAATATATTGAAAAACGGTCTGGTCATGAGGTCAAGAGGTTAAAACAGTGAAACAAAGGGAAACATACACACGTCTTACATATTCTTAAATTTAACTCCGTGGTCAAGTGACATGCTGATCCTAAGTAAGGCCTGGAAAATGTAGTATGTTGCATCACAGACTTAGATAAGGAAAAGACAATTTAGATTTACTCACATATTTCAAGGGAAGACAAACCACAGGAATTAGGTTCTCATATTGCTTGGGTTCTTAACATGGTACTGTTATTACCAATTTTTTTGTGTTATTTAAAATAGATCACTATGAAACACATCTAACTACCTCAAGCCCCTAAAATTGTTAGCTGGTAGGATTGCACAATTATATACAAAAATCTAAATAAGCCATATTGTTTATTTATATAAATATTTATTGATAATCCCTTTCCTTATGCTTGGCTTATCTTGCTATTAGAGGTAGTGATTGAATGAATTATCCAATCCAGATTGGTAACTCTCCCGACACTCTTTATCTTCAACTGTGACATTTGGTAGACAATAATAGAGGAGATTAGAATGAATAGAAAGACTTCCAGACTACAAAGCAGATGTGCCCAAAATGTGAAGTTTTAACACAAAAACTTCCATTATGCTTTGGCATTCTAAATCTGCCAAACCATGATGGGAGTTATAGTTCTATAGCATGTGGGGATCTAACTTTTGGGCATCTGTACTATTTAAGTGGTACTCTGTTACAAATCCTTCCATCTCCTCCCATCCTCTGTTTTTTCCCACTTTATATAGTTAAAACCTTTAGTAGTTATCTCTAAAAAGGGACTGAATGTAATGAGAGTAGGTTTTAGATCTGGACATTATTTTTATTAGTATAAATTGTTGCAACTACCCTAATGTTCAAGGAAGAACTGTTCTTAAAGGGGCACTATAGTCACCAAAACAAATTTAGCTTAATGAAGCAGTCTTGATGTATAGATCACACCCCTGCAGTCTTACTGCTCAATTCTCTGACGTTTAGTAGTTAAATCACTTTGTTTATGCAGCCTTAGCCACAGCTCCCTGCATGTGACCTACACAGACTTTGTGAATACTTCCTGTAAAGAGGCATCCAATGTGTTCACTTCCTTTATTGCAATCTGTTTAATTTACAATATCATCTCCTGCTCTGTTAATAACTTTCCATACCCCACAGGAGCCTGTCTGTAATTAAAGTTAAATGTATAGAGTAGGAGATAAACTTCTAAATTAGGTTAACTTTTTTTTTTCCGCGCAGGCTGTATCAGTCACAGCCAGGGGCGGTGTGGCTAGAACTGCATAAGCAGAAACAAAAGTAATTTAATGCTTAGATGGCAAAGAATCGAGCAGTGAGATTTCAGAGGCATGATCTATATGCAAGCACTGCTTCATTAAGCTAAAGATGTTTTGCTAACTATAATGTTGCTTTAACTCTAAATGAACCAAGTCTGTTTCTGTAGTTTTGTTTTAGTTAGATACAACAATAGGGTATATTGTGCAGTAACGTTTTATTGTTACATGAGCTTAATCTCTCATATGTCTTTAAATACTGCTTTTCTAATCTTTTCAAGATATGGAGAAGCATTGTTTATGAATTCCAAACTTATAAGTGGAGTAACAGAATTTCTCAACACTGAAGAAGAGCTGAATGAGGTAAATGTTTAATATGTATTTCTACATTCTGAAATATAGCATACTAGAAAAATCTTTAGAAAGGGGGAACCTTTTTTTTCTTATGGACATATAAATACATGCACATTAAAACATTATACTGCAATGTTGCATAATTTAGTGAAGATTCATATTATTATTATTATTATTATTATTAAATGGTAGTTTAATACACTTTTGCACTTTAAAAATTATTACAGAAAATAAAGTCAACTATTATTGTATGTTATAGTTATTAAACAGTGGGGAACACAAAATATGGGGTTGAATCATCTTCTCAGTCTTGTGTCTCCTTTCAGAATGCTAATCATTTTATCTATTTATTGTGGTAACCAAATGAGGAACAAATGCTTAATAAGAAAAAGTTATTTAGCATTAAAGATTTACATGTCTATCTACATTAGTCACAGTTCTTGCTTATTGGTTTAGGATGAAATGCCGGAATTATTTTTTTACAAATAGCAACCTAAACACCTTATATGGGCTGTGTGCTTATATATGATGGTACCCACAGTTGTTTTAGAGAAGTGCATGGTTTAGGGTTGGCTCAAAGTTCCCTTTCACCGACAAGCAATTGGAAAGTGGACATTCTGCTTTGTGAGTGGAATTTTAGGCATGGCTAGTGATCCATGGACCTTTTCTCCCTCCACTGCCTGTAAGGACCCTCAGCTAATATCCAACATATTTCTGATAATCGATATCAGTCTTATAGTGATCTTACCAATAACATACTCACCTATCCCAGTCACCACACACCATATTATGCATCCAGAAACTTCAACCAGCAGCCAATGAGGCACAACATCACAACCTCATGTCACCCTTCCTTGTCCACCTGCATGTGGAGCTCAGCTAAAAGCAGGGAGGTGGGGCAGTGAATAATCTACAGTAATGTACTGGGCTGGCATGCTGAGAGTGATATGAGTGTGATTGCTGTCAGCATGTTCAGTTAATGCCAGATTTGTGCAGACGTTGTGTTGCTTTTCCAAAACATTAAATGTGAAGGATATTTGCACTGTATACTGGCAATCGGCCGAAAAGGCGATCAATAATCTCTATTGGCATCGCCTCTGGAATATATATATCTGTGTGTGTCCTGAAGACAATCTTTCTTTTTTGTTAATTTCTCAGCTTTCACAATTAGACTGTTCTGGAACATAATTTAGCAGTCAACAAGCAAATTAAATAAGCATTTGCTCATATGCCCAAAATGCTGTATAAAGATCTAACTTTTTGTTACTCGTCTTTCTAACTCCAATTATACTCGTCCTTTTTTTTTTTTTTTTTTTTTTTTTCCGCAAGCATCAAGATGACTTTTAACACCAAATTAACACATACACTAAGGGTCAGTTACGATAGGTGACTTTGCAACATATTTCAATAGCTGGCAATGCTTCTTTACTAAGATGGCTAAACCTACAAAAGTGATACATATTTGTTAGTTCAAATGGGTCTTGACTTGTACATATAACCATTTATATTTGTTTCCCACAGCTTAAAAACTTTATACAGCTCCACAAAGGAGGATCATCTGTATCATCTCTATCCAGGGCAGTGGAAACAGTCGATGCCAATGTCCGATGGCAATTACTGTACAGAGAAGAACTATTTCAGTGGTTAAGAAAAACCTTGAAACATTAAACTTTGAAACAAAAGACAGTGATTTAATTAATCAATGAAGACACATTTCTTGGAAGAGACCAGAATGCATGCTGTAAAATTATTAAATAACAGCAAAGATGGGGCACAATATGCCTTTCTCTATTTTTGCACTCGGCTCTTTTTCAAAACTGAAGAAACTTTTTCAAGAGAAGTCACGGTGACTGTGAGAAGTCATTCCAGGAAACATTCTATAAGAAGCGCATGTTGATGTTATTGTATATTTTTCAAGTTCTATTTTGTGCATGGTCGTAAAGTGTGCTTATATATCCCAGCATGCTTTCTTTCAATGTCCTTGTTTTGCGTTTGAACTGCCTTTACATCAAATAGCAGGCATTATGCAAAAGCACAATGACTAAATATGACAATCATTGCAAATGGAAGTCAAACATGAGGATGGAATCAACATACAAAATATTATGTCAAGCATAAATTATGACTACACACAGCTGTAATTATAAAAAGTAATTCCCCCAAAATTAACGGTTTAGCAGTGATTGATATTTCTAGTATGACAATGACAAATATTTTGAAAGTTAAATAATGTAATGTAAACATGCATATTAAATTGATTTTTATTGCTTTTCTACTATGGCCGTGAAATGTTTAGGGTGTACAGAATGCCAAGAAAAGACATATAATATATAATTAATAACATTCTTTTTTTTGTGTATTTCCAAACCCACCAATCTATGTTCTGTATAAACATAATGTTGTGTCAGCGCCAACAAAAAGGTCCCACAAATATCAGTATTTATGTGTCTTTTAAATAGCAGAAATTTAGTGGTTATTATTTTATTTAAATCTTTATGTATTTTTCAGTATTTGTCAAGAAATATATAAGACAAATGCAAAGATGATATCAGTCTATCAGATATATAAGATCCTAAGGGAACATGCTTCTCTTGAGCTAGTATTGTTTCCAAACATAGGTAAATATTACTATAATTAGTAAGATGACTTTATCATAAAAGTACTTTATGCTACATAAATGCTCATAAAAATATTCAGTATTTCAGAAAATTTGTGTATTTAGTTCATCAAAGTGTATAAATGTGATTTTGTATTTAATCTTAGGAACAAGGTGCCATTTAAAATCTATAAAATGTATAAGTCTTTTCTTTTTTTTTTTACTTTTACATTAGTGCTTTATTAATTGTCCAATCTACATAATCGCAATTCCATATTGTCCATTTGTTTTACTAACCAAGGTAAAAATGCTAGTGGAAGTTAATGAAATCTAAAATATCTTGTACTTTTCGCAAATGTAACAATATCTATAACTTAACAGAATTTAAAATTTTAATGTACAGTGGGACCTCGGTTTACAAACGCCTCGGTTAACATAATTTTCGGTTATCAAATGAAAATCCATTGAAAATAATGCTTCGGTTTACAATTTTTTTTTTGCAATACAAAGCAAATTTCCCCAGGATGCATTGCACCTGGGAGGTTTATAGCACCGCCCCCTGCATGCTGGAGCGTGAGGGTAGCACGTGGCGTCGAGTGTGGAGGTGTTGGAGCAGCTTTTGCATCGAGTTTTGGAGCCATTCTGGAAATTGTTTAAAGTTGTTTTGGGACTTTTTGGTGCATTTCTCAATCTATGGAAAGGTAAGGAACTGAGCTTCATCGTTTGCATTCCTTTTATTGTGTGTTCTGCATTGTGCGTTGGATTCCATGCCAGCTCATTTTGACTTTTTTCTGACCTCAAGAACAGATTAATAGTTTTTTGTAATGCATTCCTATGGGAACCCACGTTTCGGTTTACAAAATTTTCGCAATAAGAAATGTCCCGGAAAAGGCATTAAATTTGTAAACCGAGGTCCCACTGTATATTACAACTTTTCTTATTTTCATTGTACATTTGAATGGAGGCTGATGTCTCACACAACAGAAAAAAGGAGGAAAGAAAAATTACTTAACCTCGAGAACTCTGAAAACATAATGTAATTTTAAATATTGAAACCTCCATTAAAATTTGAAAAGTATAAGGTTCAGTAAATAACAGTTAACACAGTGTATAATGCAAAATAAAAACATTTTTGGAAAATTTCTAATTTAGTCAGAGGACCTCTCACCATATCATAAATAAATCTGATAACGATACATCTCTGTTAACTCATATAAATCATATAGATAGCTATAGCAGCACAGTACCTTATTATTTTAACTTTTACATGCATACACATTTTAATAAAAGCAAAATCAGAACCAGTATGTACATTTCTATAGGACCAATCATTGCGCATAATTTACATAAAAATGCTGCTAATTTGTGTTTATTATCAATATAATGGTATTTCAGTGTCGACAGTAGCTGCTATTCAAAAATACAAAATGTTAGCCTTTTTTACTGCAAAATTATCTAGAATTAATGGAAATTATAGAGAGCTTTATAACGTTTAGCTTGGCTGTTGATACTTTTTTTATAAAATAGTTCACGCGATTTATTAGCAAAATATGCCATTTATGAGTTAAAGTGTAATAAGCAGTTCTGCCCATGCACTAGCAGTTTTAACTCCACAGTTGTGCTTTTCACTGCCAATATAACAATACAGCCTACGGGTAGGAGCTGTTAAATTTACTGAATCAAGTCAAAATTGTCTAGTATGCAAAACAGTATGCTGGGGAATTTGAGAAAATCAACATCTCATTGTTTTTTATGATGATTAAGTACATAGAACCTCAAAAAATTGAAAAAAAAATGAACCTTTGCAGATTGTGTTATTACATCTTAGCATTAGACAGGCAATTTGCTTTCTCCAAACCAGTGATTACATGGGTGAAATGTACACTAATAAAATAAGTATCGCAGAGTTTATTGTTATAAACATGATCAGTTTTATTAGCTAAAGACTTGTAACAGTTCTTTTTGCAATTTGCAAGTTTGTAAGGTCAAGTTACGTAATGATGCATCAAGTTAATTATTTATCTAATGCAAATGCAATGTGAATAGTAATTATGATTGCAACTATAAAACACAGTACACAAATACAATTCTGCTGCAGCATTATACCTTTAAAAAGAAAAGGTGTGTAATTCAAAATATTGAATAGTTTGTAGTTTAGCTATGGGTCAAGAGCAAGCTCTGAAAATTTACTCTTTTGCCCATTTTGTGATATCACTTTTAAAACATGAGGTTGCCAATAGAATTTTGAGATTTGTCTTTTCTACCTCTCTGCTTACATTATATAAATTTCTGCTCAGGGATTGGGGATATAGGGAATCTTCAATCCGGGGTGATCTATTGATTACTTACTCTTAAAACATTGATTTTTTCCTCGGCTGTAGCAGAAATTTTTATTTTTAATTTATCTTACAATCATGCTTAATATGCATTTGTACAGATTCTTATATTGGTATGTCTTATATCTGAAACAGTTTATTAACCTTTATTTAATGCAAACCTTGTACACCAAATTATATTAGGATGGGTAGCATAAAGAAAATATTAAATAAAGACTTTCCGCACATAACTGGTTGGTTACTATGACAAGTCTGTGATTCATTTTGCAGAACTGGGTCACTCTAAAAATACGAAGCTAAAACTAATCTCTATAAAATTTAAAATGAGTTTAGCAGTTGTTAAAGGAAACAAAGAACTATACTCACAGTGTCATGGCATCTTTGATTTAATACCCAATCAAAAAATCTATGTTAAAATAGAAATGTCTACTTTTTCGTCATGTATTATTCAATATTTCTTACAAAAGGGCTCAACGTATATCATATATTTTCTATGCCAGCAGAGAATGTAGAAAAAAAAAACTATGTTTTGTTAGACATGTCTAGAAAACCAGCATATAAAATAAAGAAAAAATCCGCTTATTGCTCTTCTTTGACCCATTTAGAATCAAAACAATATTTCACAGTAAAGTTCCACTATGTTTATTTTTATTTCACTTCTTTTTCAAAGAACATTTAGCAATTTTTTTTTTTTAATATGGGTAGTTTTTTTTAAAGGAACACTAAAGGGTCAGGAGCACAAACATGTATTCCTCACCTTGTAGAGCAAAACCCACCATTAAGGTGGCTTGCCCTCTCCCCCTTACTCCCCTCTAAAGCATGAAAAACTTGGCTAAAATGAGCAAGAGTCGGGGCCAAATGCAGTGTTGGCCAATCAGCACCTCTTCATAGAGATGCATTGAATCAATGCTTCTCTATGAGGAAAATTCAGCATCCCCATGCAGAGCGTGGGGATGCTGAACGGCAGAGCTGCCTACTGTGCAGCACTGATCCAGGAAGCACCTCCAGTGGCCATCTAAGGCGTGGCCACTTGGAGGTGTCCATAGGGGCAATGTAAACATTGCCTTTTCTCTGAAAAAGCAGTGTTTGCATTAAAATGCCTGCATATAATGATTATACTCACCAGAACAACTACATTAAGCTGTAGTTGTTCTGGTGACTATAGTGTCCCTTTAAATTGTATTGTATAGGAATGTGAAGATCACCAAGTAATGATAATAATCAAAGCAGTCTAAAATACAGTTACATATGGTGTTAGCATTTCTAATACATTCTCTACCCTTTGAGGATGTTTGAAATGATAGTTTCAACTTGATCTCTCATTTATAAAGCTGATTACAAAAAAAAGCAAATTTAGTAAGAAAGCTGTATTCTAATATTTTGAGCTAAATTCAAGAAACAAGCTATTTGCATGAAAATGGAGCAATGTTATTTAGAGTTGCTGATCCATTTAGCAAAATGAAAATTACTAAAAGCATACTAAGTTTTGTTGATGAATTATATCTGATAGTCTAAAGAAGTTCAGATTGTTGGAACAGCTCATATGTTACCGTGCCCAAAACAATCAAATGGGAACGGGACACCTAGACAAATTCCATAGATTTCTAGTAAATCAAAAGGGCATCCAGCAAAGCATTCATTTTCCATGTAATTAGTCAATGCCAGAGTTTTTTCTGATGTACCTGCATGAAGATGTATAGAATAGTCTAGAAATACACCCGTTGATCAGACCCAATATTATCCTTTGTGTGTACTGTACAGAGAGAGAAATATTAACCCCTTCATTATTCAACACTTTTTGATTGAAAAAAATAGCATTTTTATTTAAAACAAGGCATGCATAGCTAGCACATAATCATGACACTGCTATTTTATGTATTGATTACTTTGCAGATAAACTTAAAAACTTGAATCATATACATTTACACAATGCTTATTTTTTACTAACACATTCATCCTTTACAAAATATTCTTTATCTTTTCTTCACATAGGGTCAAAAATGTTAGCATAAAAGCAAAATTGCAAGTTTTCTGACATACAGCATATATGACAAAAGTAGATAAATAAAATAGGTAAAATGTCTTACTTTAAGGTATTTGTACGGATACGACTATTAGCAATACAGTTTACAAAAAATGGCAACATAATTTAAATAGAATGTCTGCATTTGAGAATATCACAATATTTATCAATATCTTGGATTCCTAATGTAATGTCAACAGCGTAATAGTTCATTCACTCCATCCCCTCCCCGACTGTAGGAGTAATATGACCCCCAGAAACCCTCTGTAATGTTTGAAAGCAGGGGGTAAGCTTATAATTTAAGCAAACATACAAGCATTACATCAGTGACTAGCGAGTTCGGGCAGATAAATGTGTTCATCTACACACTGGTAATTGTAACTAGAGTATATATGATGGTAAGTGAGGCTTTATTGATTAAATTTTATACTGCAAAATACATGAAAATAAAATACAATGTGCCAAGTGTATGCATGAACACTTTCCTACTGGAAGTAATCTTACTCCACTATTAATGAGAAGACTGAATCATGCAGAATGTTTAAAAGTCCAATATGTTTTCTTTTTAATTAAACATTTAGTTATGAAAAAAAGGTATAATCATTACTAGCATTGATATATACAAACATAACTTTTAGAATCAATTGACAAATTGTCTATTATGTTACTTTTCTGTGTTTCATAGCCAATAAGGATAAGTCCCTCAGGATCTGTTGTAGGTTGAGCATAGGATGTTTTAGGAAAGTAAATAAAAGAATTGCCTCAATAAAAATAGTAGAAAACTATATATTTTTTAGTAAAAAAGTTTTATCAATAAATATAGATTGCACCCAATATCAATCATTGAAACATGAAATTACTGTTATTGTTTTCTTATGTGCTGATAAGTTTCAATCTGAAAAAATACAAACCATCAACATAGTATGATCATGTAGATCCCTTACTTGTTTATAAATGAGTAGATAAAGATGCAATCTAGGAATGTTGAATCATTGTAATGAAATCTATGAAATTTTAAAATCAGTTCATGTTTGGGAGAAGCTAGTGACAAAGTAAAATAGCAACAAGAGACCAACAAGTACAACCTTTATACAATCTTCAACAGATCATAAGAAAAATAAAAACATGATAGAATTTCAAGTTTGCAAAACAAAACAAAAATAGTAATTAGATATCTATTTGGATCAATGAGTTAAAATTAATCATTTCCCACAGTGTGATTATTCTATAAATTCTGTGTTGCTGATAAAGCACTGAAACGTAAATGCATTTATTTTAATGAAAAAATATCTACAGAAATGGAATAACATATATTTATTATTCTTACTGTGAAGAAGCCTTTCTGTTGTTAAGTTAAATTTAATTTCCTTCCTCATTGGGAGACTCCTTTCCCTTTGCATAGTCCTGTTAATAAGGACATTGTATTATCCATGTATAGATCTCTATATGTTTACATATACCCTGAATATTTTTTTTCTGGTGTAAACATTCTCTTGTTTTTTTTCATAAATAAAATATTTAATTCCTTTCTAATCATTTTCTACTTCTATAATGTCCGTCTCAAAAAACTGGTTCCTAAAACTCTGTTGGATAATTCCAGGGGTCTCAAGACACTGTAACAACTTCAATGAGATGAAGCAATTACAGTGCCTACTGTGTCCTTTTAAGAAAAACCTTAATTGCAATTGTATCTCTTTTACTCATCTTCAGTAGTCCATTTACTAAATTTACTAAATTAAATTGTTAGTGGGCATAATTTTTATTTATTTTTTTGCATTATTGTATTTTATTGTATTTTCCATTTTTTAAAATGATTTTGTTTTCTTAGTTTCTAATATATAAATGTAATTTCCTGACTTCCTCTGTTATCTTTGTATATAGATATTATTGTGCTGGCATACATACATGATTTAACCAACATTGTCTTATATTCCAAATGCCTCTATGACTACGCTACTTATTTTGTTGCTATTACTAAATTTATTGAATTTTAGCTAAAAAATATATCAAACCTCAGTGTATGTTCTTAAAAAATAATAACCAAGGCAGATAATTTAAAAAGTACCTTATGCTGAATTAACCTGCATAAAATGTGGCATTAAAATCCATCACATATCAATTTGTTACATTATTTAAAATTTTTAGATCATATAGCATACTGTTACATTAACTATTGCGCAAAGAATCCTTAGTTATTATTTTTAAAGGACTCTGTAGATCACTAATTATGATATCAATGATCATTAACTGATACAATGTTTAGGGATTTATTTTTGGGGAAATTCATACAACTACTGCATTTGTTATTTTAATTTATAAGAGTTTTAAATTATAACAAGTGTCACCATGTAGCAATTTTTTTATATATATTCAGGATTCAGCTAAAGTTTAAAAGATAAATGTAATCCTTTACAATTATTGTTCACTGCATCACCTATAAGTGTATACAACAGCATAAAATAACTGCTCATTCTTAAATTGGATGTCATCATGTTTCTCTAATGTCAACTGCATGGCTACATTCCTCCAATAACTCTAGTTCATCATACAAAGTTTTTTATTTTATATATATATATATATATATATATATATATATATATATATATATATCATATTTATGAGTAGATTTTTAAGATGACTGTAAAAGTGCAATTGATAGCTTTTTTTAACAAGCACCTCCTGATCAATGTGGGACTACTGCCTCTTTATCTAATTTTATTTAAAACTATCTCATATTATCTTTTCTAACTAATCATTTACTTTGATCCTTAATATACCAACACATTATTAATTTTGTATCTGTTATGAGTGTAATGACACTCTGATATTTAGTTACTACTAACCCATTATCTGTCTTAATTTTTTTTATAATTTGTCATGACATTAGTGCAACTAGAATTTTAATTCAAGCTGTAGATTATATATGTGAAAACCTACCCAAAGGCTTCTTCATGCAACTTGAATAATCCTTTGCCATTTTACAAGCCCTGCACCAGACGTTAGTTTTGTCCTCCATTTCATACTTTCTACATATTACTCCTTTTAACATTACCCTGTTTTTCTAATTAAAAGTTTAGACATTTACCTCCCATTCACAGAAGACTTGAGGTGACTCAATTAAATCATCTTTTAAGACCCTCCACTTTGTTCTGATTGTATCATAGCTATTATTATGGACCAAGTGCTGGATCATCTCCATTCTCTCCCAATAGTTTAAAAACCTGATCAGAAACATTCCAAAGGTAAACATTCAGGGTCCGAATGCCAAACTATTCTGTCCATATGAGTACAGTGGTGGTTTACCCATTTTGCCGTTTTAATGACAGAATCGCCACTACCAAAACCAAAAATCAGGTTGTTCCTGGATTTTGGATCCTAATCATATTAGAGGGACCATTCTCTCAATTATTATAAGAAACAAAGCAATATTGCTGTAGAGATGCATCTGAGTTCATACTCCCTATGTATTTACTCAAATAGAAAATTTTGCAAGGATAAAAAAAAAATATTTGCAATAGTCATATACTGTTCCAAGCTGGAAAATGAGTTTTTAACAATTAAATTATGGATTCTTCTATAGACTTCAACACCAATTCATATGAATAGGTAGACTCAATGTTTTGGGCAATTGCAACTGTCACTTTTAGTAAGCTTCCACTGAAACCATTTTGTGAAAGTTATTTTTAGCCATACTTTTTTACATTTATACTTTACTTTTTTTACCATATGTGGTTTGCTAATGTTAGGTAACCGGTTATGTATAACAATCATGGTAGGGTTACACTGACATTTTATGTTTGTATGTTGTGCTACTCTGTTATGCTGTTCATTACATCTAATTATACTAATATACTTGCTGTTGTGTATTTACTTTTATTTTTTACCTTATTTTAAAGTGAGAAAAAAACATATATTAGTGTACAATCCAACATTGGTTTACTAAAAGTTTTATAATAAAGATAATTGTTTATATTTTAATTAACAGCTGTTGTGTATTCATTTGCTACAGTCTTCTGCACTGATTGATATCACAACATCCGATCAATTGATTATCATTCGTCCTCACACATATTATAAAAGTCCACCTTTATTAATATTTACATTTTAATAGATTGCTCATTTCCCAGTTCTCGTTATACTGTAATAATACACTTTACTTAACATTGTAAATTTAAACATTAATGCCCTTACTATTATATATCAATCATTTGGGGGTCAAAAACACATTATTCTGTGATGGGGAAATTACTTTCTTTTAACCCCTTAAGGACCGATGACAGTTCAGGACCGTCATCGGAAACATCCCCTTGAGGACCAGTGACGGTGTTGAACCATCATAACGGAAATATTTACTTACCTGATCCCCACCATTGCCCTGGCGGTGATTAGCGTTGCTCCCGGTCTGACAGCCCAGACAGTCCCCTCTCTGCGAATTAGGACCCCGCGGCCATGTGATCGCTCTAACAGAGTGGTCACATGGCCGCAATAGGCGTCCAAGTATCTGCCTGCAGGGGGACTGCCTGTGCTGATATATAAGATATATATATATATATATATATATATATATACACACATGTATTATATCTATATATAATATATATATATATATATATATCATATACATAATGTCATATATACATATATTAATACAAAAATACACTTATAATTAAATTACACACATATATAATATATATATTATAAAATATAAATAAGTAAATACATTTAAAAAAAATAAAAATAATTAAAAAATAAAATAAAAATAATAATAATTTTATATATATATAGATATACATATATATATATATATATATATATATATATATGTAATTTTATTCTAACAGTATTTTGAGATATATATATATATATATATATATATATATATAAAAATACACTTAGAATGAAATGATATATATAAATAATAAATAAGTAATATATAAATAAATATATATTGTTATATAAATAATAATAAATAATAAAAATAATATGAAATATATATATATATCCATATACAGAATTACATACATAATTTCATAAATATACACGTAGACTTCAAATATATAAATATGTATATATGTATTTAAATTCTACGTAATTTTTTAAAATATGTAAGTAATTTTATTGCTTGGAATTTGAGGGACCTGCCTGACAACCCAGGCTGAAAGTCCAGAGAATTTAATTTGCTAGCACTGTGTTTAACCCTGTAACTTTCTATGACACCCTAAAACCTGTACATGGTGGGGGGGGAGAGGGGGAGGTACTGTGGTACACAAATATTAGTGATTCAAAACAGTAAAACATATCACAGTGATGATATTGTCAGTTAAAGTGATTTTTTTGCATTTTTCACACACAAACGGCACTTTTACTGATGATATCATTGTTGTGATACATTTTACTGTTTTGATACACTAGTATTTGTGTTCAGCAAAGTCTCCCGAATATAACAGTACCCCCCCATGTATATGTTTTACAGTGTTTTTGAAAGTTACAGGGTCAAATATAAGGCTTCATTTTCCTTTTTTACATTGAAATTTGCCAGATTGATTATGTTGCCTGTGAGAGCCTATGGAAGCCTAGGAATGAGAATTGCCCCCATGATGGCATACCATTTGCAAAAGAAGACAACCCAAGGTATTGCAAATGAGGGATGTTCAGTCTTTTTTAGTAGTCACAAACACTGGTCAAAGTTAGCGTCAAAGTTAGCGTTCAAAAATGCTAACTTTGGCCAGTGTTTGTGACTAAGTGGCTCCTAAATAGACTGGACATACCCCTTATTAAATACCCTGGGATGTCTACTTTGTACATGTGAGGTGTGATTCAGAGATTTATGACAGATAACAGTGTTACAATGTCAGTATTGATGAATTTTAAAAAATAAATATTTTGAAACAGCAATTTCCCACTTGTACTTATAGCCCTATAACTGGCCCCCAAAAAAGCAAAAAAGCATGTAAACACTGGGTATATTTAAACTCGGGACAAAATTTTGAATCTATTTAGCAGTTTTTTCATTAGCCTTAGTGGATAAGTAAAATATTTTTCAAGTAAAAGTCAAGAAACATGATTTTTTCCCATGTTTTCACCATATTTTATAATTTTTTTTAAAAGTAAAATATATGACATGATACAAATAATGGTATGTAAAGAAAGCCCTTCATTTCTCGAAAAAACAACATATAATTTGTATGGGAACAGGAAATGAGAGAGAGGAAAATTACAGCTTAACACAAAAACCACAGAAGTGTTAAAACAGCCCTGGTCCCTAACGTACAACATGGCCAAAACAGTCTGGTTCTTAAGGGGTTAAGCTTTACATGTATTTATTTATTTATAATAATTGAACCTTTACTTTTATTCGTAATTTACATAGAACAGTGGATAAATTGAACCTCTAGCTAATAAAATACAAATGATGGATAATGGGATCACTTTGATAAGTCAGAACCCTTGACGAATGACTCTGCTGTGTTTTATATAGGTATGATGTATCGATACACAGCTGCCTGCTCATTAGTGTGTGTGTTGCTGATTATGTGTGTGTAAGAGGTGTGATTCACATATATTTATATATATATTTGAAGAAATGGGTGCACTCAAAGGATTTTCAATCAATGTGACAAGTTTAATTTACTTCTTCAAAAATTTTAAGTCCTGACTGATGTTTTGACCCCTGAGGGTCTTTTTCAAGATCAACAATGCGATGTGTTATAAATCAATTTATAGACAAAATATTAACGTGACTCCCTGTCCAATCCAACCTGGAAGTGCTCATGTGGGACTTGTGACACCAAAGTAAAACGTGATGATGTGGGAAGCCGACCTCCGAAGAGCTAAGTAACGTATGTATACAACTGTCAGAATACCAATCGTGTACAGGAGCATAGAGAGCAAAGTGAAATACAGCAAAAAATAAATATAGTTTATACTATACAGAAGAGAAATAAGTACTGTGAAACATATGTATGATTACCTTAATCGGAGAGATGAATGTGTGTGAGTGGTGTGAAAAATGTGGCAGTGAAAAGTACACCATACTCATGTCATAAATATGTGAAGTGTGAACCAAAAGAAAGTGAGATAAATCTGAGATGGCCATGTTAGGAGGCAACTCCCATCACTATGATGCTGCATTGTATGAAAAGAAATTGTGCAACTGAAACATTATATCAGGGTTAAGATCAAAACAAGATCAATGTCAGGCAATGTAATAAGAAATATTGGCAAGTGACAAGATTCTTGTGATATATTTATATATGAAACCAGGGAGCTGCACTCACCTGAACATGCATAAATGGGGTGCTGCTGGGGCCAATTCATACAATACACAAGATCCAGATAACTCACTCATTCACTAAACAGCAACTTCAGTGCTCATAGATTGTAGATTGTATTATTTTTGTAATTTTTTTTTAAAACACCTAATCTAGGAAACAATATTGGGGTTTAGTTACAGTATATGATCATACATTGAATAAGCCTTCCACAAGGTCAATGTACCCCATTTATGGCAGGTCCTACTCTAACAACCTGTGTCTCTTATGAGATTAACCCACTACTTGGGGAAAACACTTCCATCTGGGAATCGCTGCAGTAATATACAGAACAGGAGCTCACACAGAATGGCACTGTATACTGCAACAAATCACTCTGCAAACTATGTCAACATATGTGTCAATAACACAGCCAAACACAATAACAAATCAGACAACATCAAAGGATCATATTTGTGCATATCTGCAAATGCGGTGTACATGATACAGTGTACAGTGCGTGACAAAGGTTGCTACATTGGAGAAACTGGATTAAGCTGCATCTCAGAATGAATCTACACAGACACTCAATCACAAGGAAAATAGATATTGGACCCTTTTGGTCATCACTTCATCCAGACTGCTCACTCCATCCAAAACCTCAGGATTAAAGTTCCTAAAGGGAATTTCAAAGACTCTCATGAACAAAAGACATTTGAGATGAAAATGATCACACATTTCAACACCAGAAATGAAGGATTTGATATAGATTTCTCACACACTACCAAACTTTTTATAAAACACACATCTTAATCTCTCATATAGTACTTTTTCAATATTTTCGCTTTACCTTTATTGGATCAATCTATTTACATACACTGAACAGAATTATAAACGTAACACTTTTGTTTTTGCCCCCATTTTTCATGAGCTGAAAGATCTAAGACTTTTTCAATGTACACAAAAGGCCTATTTCTCTCAAACATTGTTCACAAATCTGTCTAAATCTGTGTTAGTGAGCACTTCTCCTTTGCCGAGATAATCCATCCACCTCACAGGTGTGGCCTATCAAGATGCTGATTAGACAGCCTGATTATTGCAAAGGTGTGCCTTTGGCTGGCCACAATAAAAGGCCACTCTAAAATGTGCAGTTTTACTGTATTGGGGGGTCAGAAAATGCAGCTATATACTTGCATGCCCTGCTCTTTTTTGGGGGGAGGGGGATTGTGATTTATTTTTCTTCTTTTTAACTAGCTTATTGACTCTTCTCTGTTTATTTCCTTTTTCTGGCTATTCTGCACTTTTAACTTTCAGGCACATCTTCTGCTATTAATGACACCCCACTCGCCTCCACTTCTCTAACATCAGTTGTTTTAAGTGTTATCAGATTGATCAGTATTGCTTCAGACCTGAGGAAGAGAATAAAACTCTCAAAAGCTTGGCTTTCAAATATTATGTTAGTCCAATAAAAAAAAGGGTATCATTGCGTACTGCAATACTCTGGTATTGTGGCATCTTATTTACTGGACTGATACTGCTAATCCAATCTAGAATATATATTATTATATTTGTTAGTGGCTAATTCATTAATATTTTTGTTATGGTAAGCAAAAGGTGTTAGCTGACAGTATACCCCTTATAACTCTTTATTACACAAGATTACTTGAACTGTAAAACAAAATCATACACAGGTAATTCCATCTTTTCGC